TATTATATTTTTATTATATTTTTGAAAATCTATTTGTGTATAATTCTATTTTAGATCTAAATTTTATTTAAATATTTAATCATAATACATCTAATTATTTTTATTCTCTTTTAAATTATATATATATGTGTGTGTGTGTGTGTGTGTGTGTGTGTGTGTGTGTGTTATGCTGTTATTTTTATAAATATATTTTGATTGGTTTTAGGAAGCTGCAGAAACAAAAGATACACTGACGGCGGAAATCGTGGCATTAGAAAAACAAAATTATCATGCCAATATGGGTAATCTTTTAAAGGACGACTTGATTAAAGAAATGCGTAAAGGATTGAAGCAAACAACTTTAGAGGTATGACGGATATTTGTAAAATTTTCAGCGTAAATTTATAATTTTCTACATTTATAGAAGATTTTACCCATTTCCCGACCTTGCAAGTATAATTCTAATCGTATTGCTGCTATTACTAAGATGAAATCATCCCATGAGTCTCCTGAGCAATTTCCAATATCAAACCTCCTACATATATCCGCACAGCGAAAGAATGATTTTGCATTTTTGCACGCTGATTCTGAGGGCTTATTAAACTGTGACAAACGAAATTTATCAACGATTAATACAAAGTTACCAAATAGATTGCTTAATCTACACAGCCAATCTCGACCTCGCGTAGATACTCAAACTAATCGATATAAATATATAAAAAATATTGATAAAAAAATATTACAGACTGCTAGAAAATTATCACCTCCATGTAAAGATAACAATTTACCAGATTGAATTACAACAAACACTTATGTTTATTCTGTCACATGTTCAAGATAATATTAATGATTCATTCTTGAAATAAAATGAAATGAATTTAAATTATTGCATCAAGATATCTTACAAATTTAAATATTTTTTAACAAAAGTTGACATTCTCTGATAAGAATTTTTAGAAACAAATGTACGAAATAAGGTAAACACAAATTTTTATACTTCGATCATTTCTTTTTTACAATCCGTATGAAATGACATCGATACTAAAATAACTTTAAAAAGATACACTTTCAAATCAATAAATTGAGATATTTTTAAATTATGCATATTCACTAATTAATATGCAATTTATTATCACAGTATGTTTAAAAATAAATCAATTCTATGTAATATCTTTTTTATGTAATGAAAAACAAGAATGTATATCAACATGATTGCCTCGTTTATAAGTTAATATAACAGTAAATTCTAAAATAATATATATAATAATTTTGTTTGTACATATGTCACAATTTTAATATATATTTATTCTTTCTAACATGATTTCAGGATACGTCTTCTCGAAAAATCTATATTGATATGAATAATTCTCAGGAGGTCAGTCGAATTAAATATAAACATATATAATATAATTGTTGTATTTAAATAATAATATTTTATTTCTTTAGAAATGTTTTTCGCTTTCAGTAGTTTGCATTCTAAAAAGATTTATTTGTATAATATTATATATTATATTTTAACTTTTTGTTTTGTGGATGAGCAATCCTATTTATCTCTTTTTATTTTTTAAACTGTTCATTTAATTTTTGTGAAACTTGATCTATGAGATAATTTGATAATGCTTTATTCGAATCTGAGATTAAAAATAAAAAATAGTTCAATAGAATCCAATAAGGCGAAAATTAAAAAAAAAATAATCTGATTATCGTAAAACTCGATTTTAAGAAATTTTTGCAAGTACATTTAGTTTCCAGTTTTGTTTTATCATTTTTTATCATTTAAAAAAAAAA